GCATGTTTATGCTGTTTTTTAGCATTCTACTAGCTTCTGAACGTTAATCCATCTATGAATCGCTTTTCAAATTGCGAATTTTCTTATGAGAAAGAAATTGAGTAAATCTGTGTTGCAGAACTGCTTATTTTAGCCTGATTTGTAATAATACTTAAAATATTTTGAGCTTCGTAATAATGCAAGCCTTATAAAGTGCCAAAGTAAAATGCTCTTTTTATGGTGGTACTGAAAAAGACCCTTAGAATTCGACATAAACCGACCGTCTGGTACGAGGTGTTGCAACCCGAACTGGATTCGGCCCACAAGTTGACACATCCCGACGGCGCGATACAGTTGGGCCTGCACGTGTATTCGCACATTACACCGTGGCGCACCTCTTATAAAGATGGTAAGTGGTTGTCTTCTAATGCCCAAATAACTGCATGGAACCAAGCATTTCAAGTTCGGGAATTTACCGCTTTAGACGTGGTTAAGACCTCCGATAGAGAGTCTAGCTTTCATAGAAGCTCTCTTCTGGCGTTTTTGGCCTTTCCAACGGCTAGCATGTCAAACGACCTTCCTTCTGCCAGGTCTTCCACGAGTTCTACTGCTGCCATGTTGACTCTAAAATATGTAAATACGGCACATTGGTACTTGCATGGTCTGCTACGCCCTTGGGGCATTCGCAAGCACCAACAGCCATATTTGCCAAATATTTTGGGGTGTTCGGTCAGTGCTGATCAGCACTCGAAAACAGCATTCACTTGATGAATTTGATCTTGACGGTGATGTGCGATATGTTCTTCGAGTGATGAGCGAATCTAGCCGCTAAAATTAGATTAGATTGTCAGCAGCGAACTGTACCGGGCGCTGTTGCAGATACGACTCTAGACTTTTACAGATGAGGTCCACCAGACGGTTAAAGTTGTACGAGCGACGCCGTCGAAGTATTTGATCCTAAAGTGGACATGGTTATTCACCTCTGTGTGCTTCGATTAATATCTTGAATATTCAGATCATCACCTGGCAGAGATTGTTAGTGTGATGACCACGAATCCGAGACGGCTTCCAAGATAGGCATCAATAACATCAATATTCTCTGTGCTCCCAGTAGACGACTAGATGGTTGAGGAATGGCCTGTGCAGCAGTTATAGAAATTCATTTCAGCGCTAACCTGCAGTTGCGAATTTATAATTGTATTAACAGCCAATTAAATGCTTTAGCGTAGGCAATGGTACTCTGGTAGTATCACGTGCTCCGTTTTTCTTGGCGAATACCTTATAACTTAAAATATGTGAAAATGACAGTCGACTATTGTTCTTTGTCCAAAGCTGAAAATGTGAGTCATTATTGCTAGCAAAATAAGCACTGTTCAACAACAATACCGTTCTTAGTGCATTTCGCAGTGCCGTTGAGTCGTCCGTTAACTCTCCAAAAGGGCCGCAACGAAACGCGTCGCCTGAAATCTGAAGGAGTATATCGAACGCATTTCTTAATGGTTCTTGGTCATTTGTTTATTAACTACAATACCGAAAGATGCAACACCTGTTGACGTCGCAACCAAGTGTAACGTGACTTCACAACTTGTGGCATCCACGAATACCGTCGACTCAGTGAATGCCACTTTGTTCATGTACTTCGAATCTTGAATTCGACTCATCACTGGGCAGACAATGGCATTCGATTATTATAACTACTTCGCGTCTAGGTGAATATATTGCAATTATACCATAGTAAATGGGCTTCTGTTAAGCGGAAATCTGCAGTCTCTACTGATCAGTCGAAGCTTCTGCAATTGTAGAACCTAGAAGCAGCACTGTTAAGGTGAAGCTGAGAATAATTTCACTTTTACCTCCAACATACTATCGCCGGTCGTCCATTCAGTTACGATGCGTCAGTACTAGCACAGTCTCCAAATCTGCTTGAAGCTGGGTTAGTTCATTGTGTAAGTGAGTTATCTACTTAAAAAAATTTAACAATCATTTTAGCAGTCTGGTATTGTCAGGAAACGTCGGTATTGGTTTGTCACCCAGCTGGCCACACTATCTTTTGTGTTACGTAACATTGAACCGTGTTTTACGGTGTTTTTTTCAGCATGACTGCCAACGCACAAGCGAAATACTCGACATTTCTGAATTGATAAATATCTTCAGAAATTTAGCTCCGCTAGTTGAATGCTAAAGTTAACTAATCGACATGTTGCTGGTTGTTAAAATCATCTTTGCGAACAAGTAAAGAAGCTAAAAGTACACGTTATTAAGGAATTTAGCATTTAAGTAAATTAAATCACTTAATTTCATAATTATT